TTTACCATCATGACATGCCTTTTTAACTAGAACAGCAACAAAACTAATTTGTAATTTAAAATAAACACTGAACTAGTTAAAATGATGCATTAATTTGGTTGAATGAAAAAGGAAAATTTAAAAAAATGTTCAGGTTGATAAAAAAAATTGTATGAATGCCTCTGTCTCACATGAGCCTTGGCAGTTTTTCATATACAGTAGTGCCTCGCAAGACGATTGCCTCATGGGACGATTAATCCACAAGACTATGGGTTTTTGCGATCGCTGTTGCGCTTCGCAAGACGGTTTTTCCTATGGATGATTTTCGCAAGACAATGTTTGGGTCTATGCTTCGCAAGATGGGTTTTTCTCCCCATTGGAATGCATTAAATAGATTTCAGTGCATTCGAATAGGGAACCGCGTTTTGCAAGACAGTTTTTTTAAAGACCGATGCATCGCAAGACGGTTCCCCCCCATTGGAACGCATTAAATAGATTTCAATGCATTCCAATGGGGAATGCGTTTCGCAATACGATGTTTTCGCAAGACAGCAATTTTCGCAGAAATAATTAACATTGTCTTGCGAGGCACCACTGCACATACAAAACACACACCAATTTGCTTCATAGTCTATAAGGCATTCATATCTCCACTGTGGAGCCGACGGTGTGGAATGTTTCAGGCAAGACAGGCCATCTTCCTGATTGCTGAGCTGATCAGCTAGTCTTGGTGATTGTAGTGAAATATTTTATAATTTTATTGTTTGGGAGCTATAAATTGTTTATTTTTTTTTCTATTTCTTGGTTTGCTAATGCTGCAGGATTGTACAATACATTTAGAATAAGTGGTATAACATTTTAATAAATGTCAGAAATCCTGTTGCAGAATTATACAAACGGTGTAACTTTTAGAGGTGAATTGCTTTAAGTTAAGGAACCTCCATATACGTTATCTGTTGCACAATGCATTGTGCTATGCAGTGGCTCAAGTCCTGTTGCTTTATTTAGTAAGTTGCAATACAGGAGGCCCATTGTATCATGGATTTAGTAAGTCAATTCTTTAATGAGTTCCATTGATTCAAATAGGCCTACTCTAGTTATGGCTTCCTTTAGTGTAGTAAATGATGATGAGATAGGCCTATTTGAACCAGTGACATATATGGAGGGGTTGACTCACCAAACCCCCAATGTTTCAGTAGGTTGACATATATGGAGGGGTTGACTCACCAAATCCCCAATGGTTCAGTAGGCTTACTCTAATGTGATTTACTACACTAAGGCACAGGATTTCAGGCAGTAAGCAGCAGATATGTCTATGGAGATTTTTTGATTTACAGTAATTTGGTTGCCTATTCATTCATTCATTCATTCATTCATTCATTCATTCATTCATTCATTTATTTATTTATTTATTTATTTATTTATTTATTTATTTATTTATTTATTTAAAATATTTTATCCTACCTTTCTCCTTAAAAAAGATCCAAGGCGGCTTCCAAAGGTTACTCTGTTTACATAACTGTGCAACAGTATTTAAGCCAGCAAATGCTTAAAAAATCTGTGACCTTACATTGTTGCCAGCCAGAGGCCTGCTAACTTTTCTATATTTATAATTCCAGAAAGATAGCAAGAGAAGAAGTCTATCACATTATATTTTATCCTACCTTTCTCCTTAAAAAAGATCCAAGGCGGCTTCCAAAGGTTACTCTGTTTACATAACTGTGCAACAGTATTTAAGCCAGCAAATGCTTAAAAAATCTGTGACCTTACATTGTTGCCAGCCAGAGGCCTGCTAACTTTTCTATATTTATAATTCCAGAAAGATAGCAAGAGAAGAAGTCTATCACATTCCTGATTAGTGCAAAATCCGTTGTTGATAGCCTATGTTCAGTGTCATGGATCACAAGTCATGTGTGTCTTGTACATTTGCAACTAAATGTTTTTTAATTAATATGTTCTATGAATAATTATGTCTGCATTCCTAAAACTGAATATTCATAAGGCATTAATCTTAGATGGAAATCTGGTTGAGAGATCCAGCTAGAGTAGACCCAATGAAGCGATGTGATTTACACAAGCGTTGAGGTGATATGAGTAGTTGGATTTGTTGCTCTGCTTAGGACTGACAATTGGATTTGGGCCTTCATAGTTTTGGTAACATCTGAATGTTAACATGCTAAATAGTTATCAGGTTGACTTTGCTGCCATTGTGAAAGCTGTCATCACTACTGCTATGCCTATTCAAATCACTTAAGAGCGTGGACTGAAAGACTTTGGTTAGGTCATGACCAGGTCCTCTAAAAAAGCACTCTATATTTGGAAGGAGACTCATACAAATGGGGTAGGTGTGGCCATCTGCTTAGTCTCCAACTACAGTACGTTGTTATAACTAGCTAAGTCATATATTATTACTAGTTTGTGAAAAGTAATCTTGTCATTCTAAACGTGCCCAAAAAGCATTTATGTCTTTCTAGCCACTCAACCATGCAATATTAAGAACAGTTTACTTGCCAGATATAATTATGAAATACTTTAGGTCTAGCATGAATGATGTTGTGCAGCAGAGCAAATCAACACTCTATAGGGCAATTATGGGTCTTGCAAACTAACAGCTGTGTATTCCTTTATCCACAGATCTTCTTTTTCTACCCCTGCCCCCACTTTTTTCAGCAATCTTTTCTTTTCGGGTCAGTTCTATATTCTCATTAGATAGGCAAGTTTGTCTCAGTTTATTCATTTTTGCTGTAGTGAGAATTCAGGCTTGACTTGGTGGTGGTAGTGGTTACATGCCATCATGTTGCCTATGACTTATGCCAAACTTGTGAATGAACAATTTCCAAAATGGCCTGTCCTTACCAGCCCTGCTTAGCTCTTCCAAATTCAAGCCTGTGGCTTTCTTTAGGGAGTCGATCTGTCTCATATTTGGTCTTCCTCTTTTCCTGCTGCCCTTATTTCTTCCCAGCATTTATGCTGTTTTCAGAGAATCTTGTCTTATGATGTTCTTAAAGTAGGACAGCCTCAGTTTCATCACTTTTGCCTCCAGAGATAGTGCAGGCTTGATATTTTTGTCCTTGCCTCCAGAGATAGTACAGGCTTGATATTTTTGTCGATTTTTCTTACAGTCCAGGGTATTTGGAAATCTCTCCTAAAGCAACATATTTTATATGAATCATTTTTTTTCTTGTCAGATTCTTTATTGTGTGGCTTTCTCACCCATACATAGTGATTGGGACTACAAGAGTGTGGATGATCTTTGTCTTGGCAACAGTCCCCATTTGGAATGGTGATTGAAATAAGCTATACAAAACCTTTAACAACTTCAGTTTCATCATTGTCAGTATTGGAGTTGTGTAGTTCTTCCCGTCAAGATTTTTCTCTTAATTGTCAAAACAGACTTGAGATTTGATGGTTGTTGTAGGTTTTTCGGGCTGTTTGGCCATGTTCTGAAGGTTTTTCTTCCTAAAGTTTCACCAGTCTCTGTGGCCGGCATCTTCAGAGGACAGGAGTCAGAACTCTGTCTGCGTTCTGGTGTAGTGTGTGGGATAGTTGAATATTTATAACTGTAGGATCAGCTTTTTGTCCTATTTGGGAGATTGAGTGATTATGGTGATCCAATCCCTTACAGTTGTGATAAGATATATATTGGGACCACAAAAAGCAACATCCACACCAGAATCTAAGAACATGAAAGGCACTGCAGACTAAAACAACTGGAAAAATTGGCAGTAGCTGAAAATTGGCAGTATGCTGTTAAACAAGCTGGACACAAAATTCTATTTCAAAATACAGAAGTACTACACAACACTAGCAATCAATATGTTCGACTACGCAGAGAAACTATTGAAATCCACAAACACTATCAGAGCTTCAACAAAAAAGAACGTTTAAAACTCAACAAAGCCTGGCTCCCAGCACTGAGAAATACAAAAGGTTGATAAATCAACAAAGCCTGGCTCCGAGCACTGAGAAATACAAAAGGCTGACGAACTCTACCCAGCCACAAGGACTGGTGATCACTACACACAAAAGATTAGCTAACGACACCCATCAATCACAGTGACAGATCATCTCTCCCCCCTTATCACAACAATATACCCATAACAAAAAAAACACGCTGATCACCATAATCACCCAGTCTCCTGAAAAATAGAAAAAGCTGATACCACAGCTACAAATACTCAACTATCACATACACTACACCAGAATACAGAGTTCTGACTCCTGTCCTCTGAAGATGCCGGCCACAGACACTGGTGAAATGTTAGGAAGAAAAACCTTATGAACATGGCCAAACAGCCTGAAAAACCTACAACAACTATCAGATACCGGCCGTGAAAGCCTTTGAGAATACACAGACTCGAGAATTGCTTTGTGTTTGGGTGAGAAGAGGAGTCAGGTTCTGGGATTTTCTTGTGTGTTGTGTCACTTTGTGAATGGTAATGAGCACAAGAAGCTCTCTTGTAGACCAGTGGTCCCCAACCTTGGGCTTCTAGATGTTCTTGGACTTCTAATCTGAGAAATCCTGGCCAGCAGAGGTGGTGGTGAAGGCTTCTGGGAGTTGTAGTCTAAGAACAGCTGGAGGCCCAAGGTTGGGAACCACTGTTTTAGACCATCTTCTTGACTGTTGTCGTTGGTGCTGCCAACATTCAGACTGCCCTTTGCTATGTAAAGTTTGGTATCCTATTTCCTGCTGTCAACATGGGCACGAGACTGAGCAGCAGTACAGGGCCATTTCCTGTCATTTTGAGTTGTGGATAGAGAAGCACAATATTCATATGCTGGAGTTTTTTAAAGAATTGAATAATAATATATAACACAGAATTTAAAATTTATGTGAAATGCAGCTACAGACAATATAACTTAAGTGTTAGTCCAGTTAAAACAGAAAGAACAAAAGCTCATCTTAGGACGTTGAAGTTACTTTGAACTTTTTCTCTCTTATGAGAATCTCTGAAATAATTTTATGTTCTAGTTCTATGTTACCTGGACTTCTTAAATGTAATGTTTGTTTCTACTTTTAGATTATAGGTTGCCAGATTAGGAGAGAGCCAGTGGAGGCGACTGAGCGATACACAAGGTGGATCAACAGTCTAACAGAGGAGCAACTTCTTACTCAGGTAATAGGTTATATATATCTCTTTCTCTTAAGGTGCCACAGGTTAGTTTTCATATATTTTTGCTATCTTATACTAATTAGGTATTTGTTCTAAGCACTTGGAAAGTGGAAGGATAATCATGTACAGATGTTGGTATAGCATAGTTTGAATATATATGAATATATTAATATGCATTTCAAGGTGAGAGAGATTCTCGCACTTGAATTAAAGTGGTTTTAGTTCACATATTTCTTATCCCAGACCATAAGTAAATATGTAACTTTATAGTCACTGATCCTTGAACTTCAATAGCCTTATTTGAATGATTTATTTGATTTATAGCCTACCTTTCTCAGAATTGGATCCCAAAGCGACTCACAATATACTTAAACAAATAGATACAAGTAAACAGACTATTGAGTTCTAATATTAAAGGACAATTAAATAAATTATTATTTTAAAATACATTTGGGTTAAAAACAGTTTTAAAAGCACATCCGTATAGATGATAATGATGATGATGAATGCAGCACCTGCCAGTGCCCTATTTTTGGCAGCCAATTAGCTGCAGGAAGCCTGTTTGGATAGAAAGTTCTTTGTCTGCCTGTGGAAAAAACAACAAGGAGGTGACTAGCCTAGCCACAAATATTCCACAAAGAAGTTACTTCTTTTTCTCCATATGTAAAAAAAAAAATAATATCCAGTAATCCTGAGATATTTCTGTTTTAAGTTAAAGGATTATCATGGAATGTGAGTTTACATAGGCAAATGCCCACCTGTTCCAATAACTTGATTCCAATGGTAAATTGCAAGCAATAGACTCCTAATATGTTGTGATTTTAGGGAAGTGGGGTAGGATGGAATGTGCCTCAAGTTCTATAGAGCCAGGGAGGTGCTCCAGGACTTGTCTGACATCAGTGTATCCCCTCCCTTTCCTTCTGAATGTTAGAAACAGCAATGTCCATTCTTTCCTCTCTCACCATCTGCTTTTAAATATATTTAAAACTAATGAAGGTGCTATCTCCCCTGCTCTCTCCTTTTCTGTTGCACTCATAAATTCTCCGAGTCTTGGCTATATCTGGAATTGGGGAGGGAGGGACTGCTTATTGAGTATGATTGGTAGTTTGATATTTTCTGTACACATATTTTGTATCCCATTTTTCAAATGTAAGAACCAACCTTTTAAAGTGTCTTAACATGGTTGTGTGTATTTATGTAAATTTTACAGGACAGTATTAGAATGGGTGTTTGCTACTGTAGTATAGGTTTTGCCATGGCTTATATTCTAGATTCTGTATATTGTAATATTTAAAAATTGAATTAATCTTACACAGACATACACACTTGGTGAGAAAAGAAAAAGTACTGCATGATAACCAATTCTGGATTTTCTTGAAGAGTGTGAAGGGATTTTTTTTAACATTGCTTTTGGTAAAGACACAAACATGGTGTTTTGTTTGCTTCTTTTCATTGTCTGTCCCAGCAAATTAAATCAAATTGGTTTTGGGTGACTTCAACATTCACGCAGAGGCAGAGACTTCTGAGCCAGCTCTTGAGTTCTTGGAAACCATGGCTTCCTTGAACATGTCCCAACATGTCAATGGCCCCACCCACGTGGGTGGTCCTATGCTAGACCTCGTTTTTCCCACCAATTGGAGTGAGTGTGGTCTGATGGTGACTGACCTTGTGTTGGTCCACTTGTCATGGTCAGATCACCACCTGATAAAATGTAACCTCTCAGCGGCTCTCCCCCTTGCAGGGAGCAAGCACCTATTCCTGTGGTCCACCCTTGAAGGCTACTGGATCCTATAGGATTCCAGGATGCCATGAGCGGTGTTTCGGCTGATCTGGCTGGTGCTCCTGTCGAGGCTCTGGCTGGTGGCTGGTTTACTGCTGCTACCAGGGCTGTAGACACGATTGCTCCTAAATGCCCTATCCAACGCAGAGCTCGGCCTGCATCCTGGTTTAATCAGGACCTACGAACTAGGAGAAGGCTAGAGCGCAAGTGGAGAAAGAACCCAATGGATGATAATTAGATAGCTGCCAGGGTCACGACTAACCTTTACCTGGCCAAGGTAAAGGCTGCTAGCCAAGTACATCTCGCTAAATGGATAAATGAAGCTTCAGACCAGCAGGCGGAGCTTTTCCGTATAGTGCGCAACCTATCTGGAATTGGTCTAAGTGACGGGCCTCCCCCTAGTATCTCATTGGACCAATTTGCAGCATTATCTAAAGTGGAGGCCATCCACTGGGAGCTCTCTCCTTTTTTGGATACATTGAGTCGAGAAGAGATGTCCAGCGCTCTGCCTTGCCCAGTGACTCTTGATCTCTTTCAGGCTGTGACGCCAGATATTGTGAAAAAAGTGCTTGATCGCTGTCGGGCCACCTCCTCCTCCCTTGACCCTTGCCCGACCTGGCTAATCAAAGTAGCCAGGCCTATAACAACTGAATGGGCCACAGCAATAATTAATGGGTCTTTCCTTGAGGACAGGGTACCTCCTGCCCTCAAGGAGACACTCATTAGGCCCAGAAGGAAGAAGCCCAATTTGGCAGTGGACGAATTTGGCAATTATAGGCCCGTCGCCAAGGTTTTTCTTTCATTAGCAAAGTGATGGAGAGGGTGGTGGCCAATCAGCTTCAGGCTCATTTGGATTAAACAAATGCCCTGGATCCATTCCAGTCGGGTTTCAGGCCACGCCATGGTACAGAAGCGGCATTGGTCACCCTGTATGATGACCTACTGAGGGAGGCTGACAGGGGCAAAACATCTCTGTTGGTCCACCTCGATATCTTGGCGGCCTTTGATACCATCGACCGTGGTATCCTCCTGAGGAGGCTCTCCGAGTTAGGAATTGGTGGCCTGGCATTTGCCTGGCTCCAATCCTTCCTCGGGGACCGTCCTCAGAGAGTACAGCTTGGGGAGAGGATATCGGCCCCGTGGAGCCTCAGTTGTGGGGTTCTGCAGGGTTCAATCATCTACACAATGCTGTTTAACATCTACATGAGGCTGCTGGGTGGGGTCATCAGAGGGTGTGGGGCATTGTGCCATCAGTACCCTGATGACACTCAGCTCTACATCTCCTTTTCACCAACTGCAGTGGATGCTGTTCTGTCCCTTCAGCGCTGTTTGGAGTCTGTGCTGCAATGGATGCAGGAAAATGGGCTGAGGCTGAACCTGGACAAGACAGAGGTCCTGAGGGTGGGTACCCCCACCTTCAGCGGTCTGGGAAACTCTCATTTGGAGGGGTTACTTTTACCTTTTTTCATCTTTGGTGGATAGCCCAGCTGCGTCCCTATCTTGATGTTGGGGCGCTCACCACTTTGGTACATGTGCTTGTAATTTCAAGATTAGACCACTGTAATGTGCTCTACGTGGGACTACCTTTGAGGCTGATGCGGAAACTCCAAATGGTGCAGAATGCGGCAGCCAGATTCCTTAGTGGAGTGAGAAAATATCATCATATCTCTCTTACTCTGGCCACTTTGCACTGGCTGCCCATTCGGTTCCGTGTTTACTTCAAAGTTTTAATGCTTATGTACAAAACCCTAAACATTTTAGGGCCTCGATACTTGGCGGAATGCCTACTCCCACCAAAATCTACCCGTATCACCCGATCTAGTTAGGAGGTGAGGTTGAGGAACCTGACACTGAGGGAATAACCTTCCTCCTGAGATCCGTGTGGCCCATTCACTGGGCATCTTTAAAGCCAATTGAAAACCTGGCTGTTTAGGCAGGCCTTCCCTTCAGTTATTATTTGGTTTACTTTCGCTTATCTCTTTCCATCTTGAATAATTTGATTACTGATGTCTATAATTTGTTATATTTTATATTGTTTTATTATATATGTTGGAAGCCGTCCAGAGTAGTCAGTTGACTAGATGGGCATGGTATAAATGCAATAAATAAATAAATAATAGTGCATCCTGTATTTCTATATACTTCTAATTTAAAAAGAAATCCAAGCCTTTGTCAGCTGTTTCAGTGCTGTGATAAGAGATTAGTTTATATAAATTAACTTCTTTTTCATTAATTGAGATATATAAAGTACCCCAAAACTCTACAACTCAGGGCATGCTGCATTTAAGAGCTGCATCTTGCATGATTTAAAACAGACATATTTGGCTTAACAATAGATTTTATGTTTCATTAGGCAGTCAGCCACCAATGAATAGAGTCTTTGGCAAAAACAAGTTACAGAGGAAACCTGCCCTGGTTGCAGGAAAATGATGAGTGTGATGAGGGATATAATGGCTGGTTAGTGGCAGATCACCCCAGCATTCTTTAAGAGGCACATATATTGAGCTTAGATTTTGTGGTATTATAGCAGGAAGACATTTTTCTTTAATTTTATTGGGTTTAAGTTGCTGAGGAGAGGAATGCTTCTGTGTTATTCATTCTTTAGAATCTTGGTTTCATTTCCTTACTGCTCTAAGGTTGCTGGCAAACTTGCAAGATACAGGATAGTAATTGTAAGGCAGGGAGAAATCCATGTGGCAGTTTGGAAATATGTGGTGAAACATTATTGACCAGACAGATGAACAGAAACAGCTTTTGATTCTGAAAAAGGGTTGCCAAAACTAAGAATTGACTTGATGGAACATTATTACTTTATCAGATTCAAGGATGCTTGTCTGGGGACACTTTTATCAATCATTTCGGGCTTCCCGAGTTTCCCCCCTGCTTTACCACAAGTTAACATAGGTTTCCACTCTGTGCTAGAAGAGTTAAACTTTGATGTTAGTTTCACTGTTGATGTTTTGGTCTCCCTCTCTGGATGGGAAGCTGTTTCTGACTATTGCTATGTTAAGAAGTACTCATCCTGTCATGGAATATGGCCTGTGGAAGGAGGCAGGCATAAGGTTATCAGGGGGAGGGGGATCACTTTAACCTTTTGTTGATCTGTATTCTGTAACAACAGTGACATACAGTAGATTACTTATTGGCACTGGCATTTTACAGGTGTGGCGCTCAGTCCATGCTATACAGGGCCATTGATAGATCTTATGGATCAAAGAGGATT